CCCGACTTGTTGCCTCATTTAAACAAATACATTTGTTTTCAGGCAACGAGTGGGGCACCCTGTATTATGCTGAATAATAGTTGATATTTAACTAAACTAATTTAAACTGGAGTTGGGAGTTGGGGGTCAAAACTAGATTTTTATCCAGGGCCTTTCATAGCCCCCCTCCCCCTAAATTTCCCTTCAAGAGGGGAATATGTCAAAGTCAAGGCCAACACTTATTTTTTGGCTCCTTAGTGATACCTGTCGTTTCTTGTATTGGACAAGTTGAACTGTACTGTACGTTTGACATAAAATATAATAATAATAATAAGGCCACTATTCCCACCCCCCGTGAGAACAGCCCATGACCTGCTCTGCTATTTTCACTCCCATCCTGGTGAGGGCATGAGGCGAGGACTCCCCCTTGACCTCTTGCAAGGCGATAAAAATCACTGTTTGCTGTTCATAGAATCTAGTTGAATGGCCTTTGCCCAGCCCATAGATTAAACTAACCCTGAAACTGATCTAAGTGATCTCACCAATAACAACTTAAAGATATTCTCTGTGCTGTTCTGTTCGTGTCTGTGCTATAGGCCTACTGTATGTAGCACGCCTGAAGGGGTTGAGAATAGCGAGACAAAGGCTATTCTTACCCACAGGCTGGAGAGAATAGCCACTTCCTAATAAAAGTAAAAAAAAGCAGAGGTCCTTGCCTTTTTCTAAGATAATTAAATCGGAGTGTCTACGTACACGGTAACCGGCACCTAGCCTCAGTGTCTACGTACACGGTAACCGGCAACCGGGCACGTAATCTCAGTGTCATGTACACGGTAACAGGGCATGTAGCCTCAATATCTACGTATACAGTAACCGGCTACCGGGCATGTAGTCTCAGTGTCACCAGAGACTATATAATTTTAAATACTCTCTGGTGTCACGTACACTGTAACCGGGCAGTTCAGAACTCCGAGTTCAGTTTCTGTCATCCGGTGTTGCCTTCAACTCCACCCCCCCCCCGACTGTACCTTAAAAAAAAATCAATAATCTTCCCCCCCCCCCCCCCCATTCTGGAGCCCTATACTTCGCAGCGCACAGGCTTTGAATGAACTTTGGTGACCCCAACCTGTACTCACAATGTGATGCAGACGCACAGGTTCACTGACGGCCATCTCTATTTTCACCCCGGGTGAGAATAGTGCAGGCGAGTCTTTTGGCTATTCTCACCCGGTGCACGTTCACCGTTATAGCCTAGATCTAGGCCAACCAATTTTGCGTTCACCCTAAACCACAGAATTCTACACTGAGATAACAGAAAAATTGTAGAATTCTGTGCCCACGGCGCCACTTTTCGCCCGATTCTGTTACTTTTAGTTTGCGTGACTCAGCAGCCCGCCGGAGCTCCACGGCTCGGGGTCACGGGGTTAATGAGCCCTGAGGCGACTTTGCCGGTGTCGGTCGAGAAGTTCGCATTTTTGACTATGTTTAAAACGATATAACTTCTTCCCCATCCCAGACAGCAAACCATTACGCGGATGTACTGAAAGCTCAATGTCTTGAGATTTATTCTGCGTTAGAATGGTTAGTTTCTGTGCCTTAGTTTTTGTTCTAGACAAGTGTTTGTAGAGTACCCAATTTGTCCTATTTTAGTTACAAAGTTATGAATAAATGATTGTTATTTTAAAAAAGGCACGACAGATCTCTCCAAATTCTGTGTTAAACTGACTACGAATATCATGTCTTTTACCATGAGAAATCTTAAATCTGCGGTAGTAGTAATAGTCAAGTCATAAGAGAAGAAAGATGCACATCTGCATATTTTAACTAAAGACGATCAGCGTTAGCTCTTATTTTACTATTAAACAAGAGAAAGTTACTCTGCGTTTGTTCATGAATCATGCTGTGTCTGTGGCAGCCTGCATACAACTAAAAAGATATAATATAAGCAATTTAAAAAACCACAAAACCGTGTAAATACATGGGTAGAGATAAACATCTAGTATGGAATAAAAATAATGAGAGCTAAAACATTCATTCTTAGTTTTTGTGTAGGAAATATGCGCGGACACAATTATGAATGTAAAGAAATCAGTCACATTGTCAGTTATTGCAAATGGTCATAGAAACGTAAAAAAAGCTGGAAAAGTCTGGTGCTGATTCAGTGTCCCTGGAAAGCTAGAAATTATTCTTATAACGCAATTACGAGAAGTCATCCTTATTATTCAGTCAACTTACAAAACCTAGACTTAGCGTTTTAAGAAAAGTAAGCAATTTCTGGAGTGTAACAGATACTGTTCGTGTATTAGATCTATGTTGAAGATATATTCTAGCACTAAAATCGATTTGTACTTTTCATTGAGAAACTTCATGATAACTTTTATAAACTTTCGAGAAAATATGCGAATATTCATGATTATATTAGACACATAAAGTTGTATTTGGAGGAATTACTTCGTAGCGAATTGTGTGCCCGATGGATAAAATTGCAAAATTACAGCCTTCTATGATAAGCGCAGATACCATCTTTTCTGAGTATCTGCACTAATGTTATGTCGTTCATATTCCAAAAGTTCGACAGATTTTGACGATGCGTTTTTTTTATATTGATTTTTTTTCATTCACGCTAGTCCCAAAAAAAATTACAATTTAGCATTGCCGACTCCAGCACGTCTAACGAAATAACCAGACAAGTTACAACGTCCGTTCTTTTTTGAGTCTCAAGAGCAGAAATGCGTGCTTTGGGTGCACTAAATGAGAATTACCATAAATACAAGGATACACCTTAAATTGTACGTTGAAAAGTACCAAAAATTAAGTCGGCCCAGACAGAGCGGCGACAGGGAGCTGACCCCTGTGACCCCGACGTGATAAGGCGCCCGGCGGGGAACCCCCCGCGGCAACTAAAATTCCACTGCCGGTGCGCCGTGTGCCGTGAACAAACGTTCCATTACTACTGTTAGCCTACTAAAAGCGTACAATTTTGTCTGTGGGCAGTGGAGAGAGAGAGAGAGAGAGAGAGAGAGAGAGAGAGAGAGAGAGAGAGAGAGAGAGAGAGAGAGAGAGAGAGACCCGCGTAGTTCTGCTCGATTCGAAAAGTTAAATTATAGCTGTAGCATCTTTGTAGACGACCAAATTAATTTACTTTTGTGTTTTAACACCATTTTTTAACTTTGTTTTGGTCAAGTTGATCGTCCACACCGATAGACAGTATTCAGGAAGAGATAGAGAGAGAGAAGAGGGGAGGAGTAGATCTTGTGAGAACTTCCGGGCAAAACAATATGGCGACCCCCATAGTTCGACTCGATTCGAAAAGTGAAATAGCCATAGCATCTTTGTAGTCGATAAAATTAGCTTACTTTTGTGCTATAAACGTAATCTTTTCTTTGCCTTTATCCATTTGATCATCCACATCGATAGAAAGTATTCCGAAATTAGGAAAAACAGGTCGTGTTTCACACCGAGTGAGAATAGCCTACGGTGGAAAGTCTCACCCGGGGTGTGAGGTCGATCGTATTTCTATTCTCACCCCGGGTGAGAATAGCCACTTCCTTCACGGCCTGTCACGATGGCGAGCCCGACAAGACGCTTGTATGACTTTCTTTTTTTTTTCCGCGACAGCACAGGACAAATATTGATTTATTTTCATTCCAGTTACCGTGTACGTAGATGAGTGATTATTCGGACTCGAGTCCGAATATGAAAAAATGTTATTCGGACTCTGATTCTTGTCCAGCATGACATCACTTCCAACTTCCTGTGACTCGTGAATCCGGCTTCCTGTCCTGCCTCACTCGTGACTCGCCTCAGGCTGGGTAGAGACCGGGATCACTTCGGGCAAAAAGGCGTTTTGTGCAGGAGCCGAGTTTTAATCTTATGATGAATTTGAGGCCGGCCTGAAAAGTTAGAGCGCTTCTAATAAATGTTTATTTGTAAAGAGGTCATCAGAAGCAATTAAAGATGGCTCGTTAGCGTGTGTCGGGGTCGGATGGGCGGCCTGCACACGTGTGGCTGTGTGCGTGTCGGGGAGGGTGGTGGGGGGCACTATCGGTCCGGGCTTTGAACGTCGCATACGCGTCAGTCTCTTTCCCCCCGGCAACTGATCATTATTACAATAATAAGCTAGTCATGACGTAGATCTACGTAATGAATTGTGCGCTGGTCTATGGAATCAAAAGTTGCCATATGCTCAGCTCTACACAGCAACACAATTTTTTCTTGGTAAACAATCGATATGACACAGGCTTGTGTATTTGAACGAATCGGTCTTTTAAAAAATTTTTTACACAGCTCATAATATGCAGAGGCCAGGTGGTCTGCTAATCTTCAATTTTACCTTTTTCTACAACAAAGAAAGTGGGAAACGTGGGGGGGGGGGGGGGGTATCAATGAGGCGGCGGGCATTGGATCGGCAGATAAGGAGTGGGGGAAACTAAAAAATGGCGGAAAATTGGAAGCACTGAATGTTAGATCTATGGCTCGTAGATCTATAGAACGAAGACACTTCCTTTTTTCCGGACCCGAGTCCGAATAACATTTTTTCATATACAGACTCGAGTCCGAATAAGAAATTTTTTTATTCGGACTCGAGTCCGAATATGAAAAAATGTTATTCGGACTCGAGTCCGAGATACTGAGACTAGATAGGTGCCCGGTTACTGTGTACGTGTAGAGATACAAAGACTAGGTCCTAGGTGAGACTAGGTGCCCAGCCCCGTGTACGTAGACTTCTAGATCTAATCTACATCTAGATCTAGATCTAGATTAGAAGATCTAGATCTATACTAGATCTAGAATCTATATCTAGATCTAGATCTATACTAGATCTAGATCTATACTAGATCTAGATCTATACTAGACTAGATCTAGATCTAGATCTAGGCTATATATCTAATATTAGTAATATCTATATCTATATCTAGATCTATATTAGATATATCTAGATTTAGATCTAGAATCTAGATTCTAGATTCTTGATATATAGCTAGATCTAGATTCTAGATGTGATTCTGTTCTGGTCTTACCTTTTTTATCAGAGAATCGAACTGTGTAGTTCCTACTGTTACGAAAATTGTTTTCCCCATATTTTGAGGAGTAACAGGACGGTGCTGTCGTGGCAGTATGTGAACGTTACAGCAGTGAAGTGTCAGTGTTTGTAAACAATGAGCTCGTTTTGAGTTTTGAGTTGCGTCAACATTTTGAACTAATTGTTTCAGTATATTGTTTCCGCGATTCTTTTTTAGTACTCAAAGGATTATGCAAAAAGTTTTTGGAAAAAACAGTGGTCCGAAAAGTAAAACAAAAAACCATATCTTCGAAATATGAAGAACTTTACCGATAGATTTATCTAAGTTAATATGTGTAATATCAGGTTCATCCAAAAAGACCTGTTTAAGTTTTCGAAAAGGATATTGCAACCTTGGTATTCTATTAGCCTGCCTAGAACTTGCATGGGGGGACTGTACGAACAACGCCCCCTCATGGCTACTCGTATGATAAGAGTTATCTCACTCAGTTGCATTATGGGTATGACACACTTTTTTCCGCCTGTGAAAATGGCCTCCCCTATCAGGGTAAGACTCTGATAGGGTGTGTTACATTATTTTTTGTTATATACATTGTTATTTACCTTAACGCTTCCTAAATGGCCTGAATACAAAGTAGAAATGTGATGAATTCAATGGAGACTAATGCCTGGGCTGACCCAGACCCTGGCAGTATGTAAGGAATGCTTTCTGAACACCGGTTTGTTGACTGCTAGATTGTGCCCGGCTGCATTTTCATGACGAGGAGGTTCGTGTTTCTGATATTTTCTTGGGACGTAATTTAGGCCTAAAAGGTCTGTGAAATATCTGTCAAAATGATGTGCGATGTGATGCCAACCATCTCTGAAGATGGTTCCAATGACCGAGAGTCTCAAGGTTCAGGAGACGACTCGAACTTCGAGCAGTTGATGGTGAACATGCTCGACGAAAGGGATAAATTGATGGAGAGTCTGCGAGAGAAGCAGGAAGCTCTCGATATTACAGAGGCGAAACTGCTGGAATCGAACAAAGACCGAGAGATAATGCAAAAACAACTTCAACAAACGACACCACAGGTTAGTATCTTTGTTTTTGTTTTGTCGTGACTGGCATGTTTTTTATGGGTTGATGGCCTGACTGAATGAAATGTTTATGATAAAAGTAGGAAGTGAGTTGGAAATGTTGAAGTGAAACCCACGAAGTTGATTCCTGGTGGTCTTTGATTTTTGCTGTTTTTATTATTTTTTTCATTGGGTTTGCAAGGGTTTTATTTTTTAATTGTTTTATGGACAGCTTGGCAATTCAGATGAGGGAACTATATGGTCCACATGTGACTTGAAATGTAGCTGCAGCTGAAATTTGTGGACTAGCTCCCTTGAATGATGTCATTGCATCCTCGTTCTGGAATTTTATTGATCCGTTCAGTCCTCCCACAGTTTTGATATGAGAAGGGTCAAGGGGGCATTATCTGTTCCATGTAATCCAAGTTTGGGCTAGATTTAGATCTAGATCTAGAGTCACTTCAGTTTAAAAAATATTTATAAGAACATTATTAAGTGTTCCTGGGAGCAAGAAAAATGATGATGAATATTTGTTGTTGATGTTGTTGCTGTCCATCCAGAAATCTAGAATTTAGATCAAGATGGTATTCAATCAAATAAAGACTCTAGTCTAGACTCCAGATCTCAATCTAAAATCTGACCATTTCTAAAGTCTAAAGGCTAGATTCTAGATCTAGATTCTAGTTAACTTATAATACAGACTGAGACACAGAGTAGTTTGCTATTAGAACTTAGATGTAGTAGATCTAGGCCTACTGGTGCCAGCACTCATCAGACTCCGTGCCATTTAAATTTAGATCTAGATTTTTTCTAGATCTAGAATCTAGATTAGATCTAGATCTAGATTCTAGATCTAGATATCTAGTTCTTGTATATAAGTTGTAGAGATGTTTTCCAGTTTTGGATTTTTTTGGCGCTACCACCTTGTGTCTTGTTGTAATTAGGCTTAAGGTATTTTAAAACAAGTATGATTTTTTTTTCTAAGTGGCTAGCCGTACTTAGATCTAGATCTAGATCTAGGTTTGGTCCTATCGACTAAAGCCTGTTAAGTACACAGGTCTCATTAGATCTAGAATCTAGATCTAGATCTAGTAACTAGTAATTATTATTCAGGTTCAAATACATGCAAGTCAGTAAGGCACCTTTTTGTTTTGTCTGAAATACAAATACTTTAGGCATTGCAAACTAAAAATTTCATTTACAATTCAGCCATCAATATTAAGTAGGGCTAGCCTGACAGTCTAGCCGTCCTTTTAAGTACGGCTAGCCTGGCTGTCTACCCATACTTAAGTACAGCTAGACTGGCAGTCTAGCAGTACTTATCTTAGGCCCTATTAACATTAGAAAACAGGAGTTTTAAAATACATGCACTGTCATTAAGGCACCTGGTTTCGTCTCAAATACAAATACTTTAGGTACTGCACACTAAAAATGTATATTTACAATTCAGTAGGCCTATTTTTTGTTAAATGGTCAGTCTAGCCATCATATTAAGAATAAGTACGGCTAGACTGCCAGTCTAGCCGTCATTAAGTACGGCTAGCCTCTTCCTTTAAAAAAAAATATTAAAGAAAAGGTAGGCGCTAGTTGCAACGCCATGTTCTGAATAGAGCTCCCGTGCTATTTGAAACTTCTCGTTTTGAATAGTTCCTGCTATTTGAAACGCCAGTACTAGAATCTAGATCTAGATTTTGATCTAGATCTAGTAGCCATTGTTTCTACATAAATAATATATTGTAGTTCTGCCTGAATTGTGGAAGCTTTCTCAGTTTCTTGAAAAACCTCCTAGGTTCACTCCTTTTTTATGACCTTGTCTTTTATTCCGATCAATACTGGGTAGATCTAGATCTAGATTTACAATTGTTTCTGACATTGTTTGCACAAACGTAGACTAGACGTAGTCTTGTTCATCTCTCATAATCAGGTGCAACTCGGTATAAGCAGTAGGCCCTATTTCCTGTCGGCAGTGTCGTCGTATAATAGATCTCTACCGTAAAATATTAAAATTACCTTTAACTTTAAGTTTAGGCCTACAGAACGTACAAGCTGTCTACGTAAGCTGTCTACGTTCTGTAAGTCTAATGTTCAGTGCTTCCAAGCATGGCATCGAATCCTGGTCCCGGAAGTTTGTTTTTTTTCCTTCTCCTGAGCCTGAAATTTAAAATAAAAAAAAAAAAAATTAGACTCACAGGCCATGGAAAGCCACTATTGAACTTTAACCAGGCCTAAATTGGTAAAAGGAAAAGTATAGGCAATACTAAGGCCTACTTCGTACAGAGCTCCTGTTGGGGACAAAACCGGAATGTGCATGCTTCATCACTACATGAAAAACTACAAACAACAAGTTATGATTATTTATGGGAAAAATTTGTTGGTCAGTCGAGAAGAGGAAAAAAAAAATAATGGTTTGACTTTGACTTCAAGTGCAGACGCGCTGTCCATTCGACCATCAGAACTTCCAATAAGGAAGTGCAGATTAAGCATTATATTTTACACTCTGTGACACAGCGTTTTGTTTAGCACTGGCGCTAATGTCAACGTGGCGTTTTATTTAGCACTAGCGCTAATTGCAACGCAGCGTTGCAAATAGGCACTTTCTAAAGAAAAAGTCCAATGTATGCTGGAGATTATAATTTTGTAGTTAGTTGTAATTTGAAAGTCACTCCTTTGGGAGGAACTGATTTTGTCCTGACTGTGTAATAACAACTAATTTCTTTTGATGACATTGACTCTGTGTGGCACTGACAGAAATTAGGATTGAATCACACCATGTTGCTGTTAGAGTGGTCTGTCAGCCTTTCCTACAGGCCGAAGGCTAGAACCCTGATGGCCACTGGATTGGAAAAGTATTTAAGACCTTTCCAAGGGAAATTTTCTTCGATACTTTTTCTCCATATTTGAAATCCCCCAAACTTCTTGTATTTTTTCTCAGCATGAATCATAACTTTATCATTGGCCTAAAGAAAGTGCAAAGTGTATAAAAAAACTTGCAATTTGTGGATTACTTAAAAGGGACAAATAATGTAGTTAATTTTAATTTTTAATCTAGAGAAACGAAGAAGACCGATTGATGTTCCTCATCAAACTTTACAACATACTTGATTTTCATGTTTTTGAATTTTGACATAATGAATATATACTTGACAATGCACTGAATCTAAGGTTATTTTTAAAGGATCTTTTCTTTCATTTTCAGCAGATGTTTGAAGCCTATGTACAGTGATATGTTCGGAATCTTTTCTATTGGGTCATACCTTTCCTCTGGAGTTTAGTTTCAGTATAGTTCTGGTAAACAGTTAAACTATCACTTGGTCTTTGATATTTCCTTAAATAAATACCATTATTATCTGTAATGAAAACCAAGAAAACTGAAGTGGGGAATGGAATGTTTTCACTTAGTTGTAGTCTCCAGCTAACACTCAGACTCAATGAAATACAGTTCAGACTTGGTGTTTAATATTTTCCTGAAGTCTTTTTATCTCTTCATTTCTTCAGCTCTCGACTATTTGTAGCTATAAAGAAAACTAAAGCAATGTAGGTGTTTTAAATGCTCTCATTGGATCGCCTACGGTTTTTGTATCATTTAGGAGGCTAACTGCTTCGACCCTGCTTGTCAGGGTCAGCTTGAATTCTATATGAAAGATGAAAAAGCACAACGTGATGTGTGTGTGTGTGGGCATGTTTAATTGGTCTGGTATACAATCTAGTGGACAAAAAAGGAGACATATCTGTTAGTGGGGCTGAGAATAAACCATTGACAAAATGTTTGCTTGTATACAGTAGTTATAAAAGGAAAGGAGGTGGTGAGAAATTATTTAGGCAAAGGGGACTTGTGTGTCAGAGATAGGGGAGAAGGATAGCCGAGAGAGTCAGAGAGAGAGAGGGGGGGAAGGGGGGGGGGGTGCGTTTAGCATGCATAGTCTGCACAGGAGAAGAGACCGAGATAGGCCTAGGGCATGCAGTTAACAATTGAAATTCCACAGCATTGTCGTCTGCGTGTCATGTTTACTGACTGCACACGAGACGTTTCGTTTTCACTGAAAGCTTGGCCCAGTGTGTCTCCGGTGTTCACGTTGCCTCTCTGTGTATGTTTTTTGGTTGTTTTTTTAGATGGGGGGTTCAGAGAGCTAGTATAGCTTTTATTGTCTTTATTTGAACGGTTCTGCAACATAGCTTGTGCTTGTCGCACCAGGAACAGGTCTGTTAGGTGATCTTACACTTACAAGTACTGGACCGGGCACATGTAAAAAGGATGATAATTTGTTATGGAGCGATTCGAGAGTAGTCATACCGGGCTTAGAATTAATGCCAAAACAAAAATGTAAACTGTTTATGGATATAATAATATCATTGTCACTAGTCCCCCCCCCCTCTTCTTTTTTTCAACTCTGTCATTGTTTGTGCATGTGCGGGCTGTGCGCCTGTGTGTGTGTGTGTGTGTGTGTGTGTGTGTGT